AGTGCTAAGTCCGTAAATCCAATTCAGAACCACTGTCGAATGTTCACTGTACTAGTTGGCTACTAAGCTAGTCAGAGTGACTCAGTTGTGAGACTAGCTGTACCTCAATTGGCGTCAGAATGATTGCAGTGCCATGCGGTCCTTCTCCAACTCGTCCTTCAAGCCTGCAGATGATTTAGCAACATGGATCAGCTTTGAACAAAGTAGAAACCTTCTAGACATATGATGGCGCGCAAAATACGTTACAGTTGCTTCATATTAGCATTCCTGCAGAGATAATGCACCATGGATAAGACTTGGCGCATAAATTACGTTGAAACCTCCCATATGCCTTACTAGCGTAATTTGTGCCGCCAGCAGCAAAGGCGCGTTAAAAAAGGCTGGCACTCACGCCAGTTGGTCAAAGCATCAGTTAAGATCGCCCTTACACTACCATCAACTTTTGACAAGCTAGTAAGGCTCGTGGAATCTCACCCTCGATCAAGTTGCCTTCCTTGACCATCACAGAGACCTGCAATGGACAATGCAATATTTAATTAGCAAACATATGAGCAATCAATGTAATCAATGGCAACTATCCAACTCATCAACAAGCTGCAAATCTAGTTTGTGAAAGACAATTCTATCAGCAGAGATTGCAATAGTACAGACAAGATGTCTAACTCTTGCACAACTCTGCATACCACATTCTTCAGAAACTTTACTTGAATCACTTGGAATAGTTGATCTATCTAAAGCTTGATTTTCAATTGTTGCAGCTGAGCACAAGGTTGGCGGCATGAAGATCAAACATTGCTTGAAGTTCAGATGCGATCATTTTGAGGTTGTCTTTATTGCGCCTCTCGGAATATCGTTGTCTCTCGCCGCACGTCCGCAGTCCCCCGGCCATTGTTCCCATCCTCTATCATAGTGGCGCACTTGGGCAACGCCATTGCGGGGCCATTGCGCTGAAGACTGCAAGTAAATTGAATTGAATTGCGCCATGGCGCCCTACAAGGCGGCACCTGATGGCTTACCTAGCTAGCGACCTTAGTATTACCTCTAATGTGTCGAGTCTAAGCCTAGGCTGAGTCTAGGCTAGAGTGGTTGACCGAGTCGAGTCGAATTTGAATTTGAACTACCTAGGTACGACATTTGAAATTCGACCGTCGATTCGATCATCGACGGTGGATCAAAATCTCCAGCAGATCGTCCGTACATACCCTAGGCTAGATATGGACCACACTCGTAGGTATGGACCGTACGGTATATTAGGAAACATTCAACTTGTAAGCGCACAAGGACCGACCGCTGTACGGTCCCAGAAAAGGGACCGGTAGGCAACACAATACGCAGGCACGGCCCAAAATTGGCCGCTCAGATTACGCTCGGGCATGACACAGGCCCAGCCGGTACGTATGTTAAATTAAATTTTAAAATGTCAATCAAATGCTATATACTTTTACTGAGGCTCCAAGATCGTAACCGTGACAGCGGCCTAGTGGTAGCGCGTCCGGTTGTAAGGGCAATGTGGGACCGAGAAGTACCGAGTTCGAATCTCTCATGAGACGTACGACTTTTCTCGTGCGTGACGCCTGGCGCACAAGTTACGATGCGCAGCGCTGTTGGTCTATCAATCGTAAATTGCGCGCTAGTATATGTTCTGACACATTTTTGGATCCACAACTTTTCCCGAGATCTCTTTTTAAACCCCAAGTGCCCTCGCGAGCATGGGAGGCTAGCTCACTTAGTCTAGGATGCCACTCGGACCTTCCAGACTTTTATGTGTGAGCCTGAGGTATGTGAACAAGTCCTAGCGCGCAGTTTACGCTAGACAGGTGAGAAAAACTGCACATCGTAATGTGTCACTTGACAACTAAAAGCCGTCCCCCTTGGATGTTTTGCAGCGAGCCACGAGCACGCGAAGCAGGTGCTTCAACTCCTCCAAGCCCAGCCTCTCCTGTCGGAGTTGCCTGTAACACTGGGGACGGTCCTCGGGCGGGAGAAGGGGTTGAACCCCGCCTCGTTTGACCCGGTCGAGTATCTCTGAGCAAAGTTCGCTCCTCGGGTGAGCGAATATAACATTGTCATGATGCGACGATGAATTCGAGTGGTTTTGGAGCATATCAAGGAACAGATGAATCAT